GTCATAAAATGTAAGGAACATAAACCAGAACTAAAAGATGATGTTATGCTTCAGGAGAGTTTGATTTTGATTCTGCACATTTCTAAAACATTATTGCTCTGTTATCTAGCTGTTATCACTTTTGTGATACCCTCATTTTCTTGCTAGTGGGCTTGCCTTTTAATGTTTTTATCCTTGTAAATATAAAAAAAGACCTTACTCTGGCACTTTTATTAGGGACAAATGTGTTGAAACACCTTAGATATGTGCAGAATTCCTGCAGGGATAACAGCATTACCGCATAAGGTACAGCCCATGACAAGAAAAAATGTGTTGCAAGTCGTGGTTCACACAAATATGGAGCTCCCCTTTTCAAACTTGCATCGGGAACTCCAGTGCCTGCTCATATATGACTCTGGTGCTTCCATTAACCCTACAAGGAGATGAGTGAGCCAATCAGCATGCAGCGCCAACGCAGGCAAACCACTCAGACAGCCAGATAGGACACAGAGCCCAGATGGTGTCACCATCAGCTGTTCCACACATTGAGGAGGTTCAGCGCACATACCATCAGGGTGATTTACAGACACATACAATATTCTCATGCCCTTAACAAGACACCAGTGACTCTGCGTTTACGGAGACAACTTGGTGGGCCTTCTAGGTATGAGTAATGTAAAACCTCTAATGGTTATGTCATAAATCTTTCGGCCTGGTGCAGAGCCACATCAGTCATTGTATTTAATGCAGCACTTAAAACATTATAATGACAACGATAATTGTTCAAAAACAAATAAACATAGATTGTAGCAATGCACAAACTTTACTGTGTGACTGCTTTTCAACAACAATCAGCTGCAACATTTTTACTTTGTTTTTCAGTATAGTTAACAGTTTAGTGAGTTCAGTGTAGAGAGGGAACACCCATCCAAGTACGTAAAGACACAATGCATGGGGACTGTTGGTTTACACTGGAAGCACATATATGGACTTGTCTGGAAGCTTGACCCCACCCCTGATCTCTGGGTCCTGTATGGGGTCTATTTAAGTGGCTCTGCTTAACGTGAGCCTTCGTCCCAGTGGAAGCATCCCGCACCAGTACACCTTGGTGAGTACACTGATGCATCTATTTGCTTTTTAAGAATAAATTGTTATGGTTTATGATGAACGAATGAACACAAGAAGTGTTATAATTATCTGCTAGGTAGAATCAAAGCTGGAGCTTCTGTGTATGATGGTTCATTTACAAAATGATGCTAAAATGAACTTGTGTTTTTTTTTTTTTGTGATAAATACACTTAAGGAAACAACAACAAAAAAAAGTTCTTGAAACATTATTTGGCATAATGCACAAAATCTAAGAGGGTAATATGCAAATTTCTCAGAAGATCAGTGAATGAAATTATAAGGCAGCCAGGTCATGTTGCAAAGTAGTGAAACAAAAGTACCACAGTGCAGCTAGGTGGCTGCTGGCCTGGCGCCTCTGCTCTGAAATAACTCAAGCCACTTAAATAGCTGTGTCACTTGTTATACTCTGATTAGTGTAGTGGGTGCTGAGCTTAAAATAGATTTCGGATCTGTGTTATGCACCTTTTTTGGTGTTTCTTAAGTAGCTCTCCAGTACTCCCATAGCTGTGGAGATATGATATCAGTGGTTGAGTCCAACACCAAAATATCATTTTAATTAGCACTTTAATTTCCATCTTTGTGCTTGCAGTAATACTATAAAGATTTTAGCAGGTCTTTACAGCAGTGTCCATGTAGTGAATACACAGAAAATTCACATCTTCACATTTCAGCCCCTTCTAGACAAAAAAAAAACAAACTATCTTAATTTAGTCCAACAGGTCTTCATGACACTTTAAAAACTCAAATCTCAAATATTGACTTTTGTTTCCTTATGTTTTTAATGTATATGCTGAAACTAGACCACTCCCCAAAAAAAGCCTAATCATGTGTGACGATGATGAGACTACCGCACTTGTGTGCGACAACGGCTCTGGTTTGGTCAAGGCTGGATTTGCTGGAGATGATGCTCCCCGTGCTGTCTTTCCTTCCATTGTTGGAAGGCCCCGCCACCAGGTACGCTCCAGAGAAAACACAGTCTTCATTAAGAAGAACTTAGGTACGAGTAACTAAAAATAGAAAGAAATTATATTTTGGTTCTGTTTCCTCAGGGTGTGATGGTAGGTATGGGTCAGAAGGACAGCTACGTCGGTGACGAGGCCCAGAGCAAAAGGGGTATTCTGACTCTGAAATACCCAATTGAGCATGGCATCATCACCAACTGGGATGATATGGAGAAGGTGTGTTAGCAAGAAGGTTTATGACAATATTTGTTTTACACTAGACTCCTGCTTTCTTCCGAATTTCCAACTTAACCAGCTGTCATCCAACAAACCCAGCTGACATCAGCAGTTTTTGTCTCTCCTTCTATCAGATCTGGCACCACACTTTTTACAATGAGCTGCGTGTGGCCCCTGAGGAGCACCCCACCCTGCTCACCGAGGCCCCCCTCAACCCCAAAGCCAACAGGGAGAAGATGACTCAGGTATTTAGATTATCTTCCCATTTTTATGACATAAATACTTAGGTATATTTTTTTTTTCATGTTTATTTTTATATCTTTGCTTTTTAATTTTTCCAGATTATGTTTGAGACTTTCAACGTTCCCGCCATGTACGTGGCCATCCAGGCTGTTCTGTCTTTGTATGCATCTGGTCGTACAACTGGTCAGTAACCTTTATGTTTTCTTCACATTTGACTGAAACATTTCTTCTTCACCTTCCTGACATTGCTTACTTCATTAAACCCAACTCTTTTCTGCTTGCTCAAGGTATTGTGCTGGACTCTGGCGATGGTGTGACCCACAATGTCCCCATCTATGAGGGTTACGCTCTTCCCCATGCCATCATGCGTCTTGACCTGGCTGGTCGTGACCTGACCGACTACTTGATGAAGATCCTGACCGAGCGTGGTTATTCCTTTGTCACAACAGGTATGGTGCTACCATACTTCGTTTGATTCGTTTGTTAGAAGTGTGGATGTGTTTTTTCTCATTACTCAAACCTTCTTCTTCTCAGCTGAGCGTGAGATTGTGCGTGACATTAAGGAGAAGCTGTGCTATGTGGCTCTTGACTTTGAGAACGAGATGGCCACCGCTGCCTCCTCTTCCTCCCTGGAAAAGAGCTACGAGCTGCCCGATGGTCAGGTTATCACCATCGGTAATGAGCGTTTCCGTTGTCCGGAGACTCTCTTCCAGCCTTCTTTCATTGGTGAGTCCAGCAAATATATGTATTTTTGTTAATATTTGGATTATTTCACACAAGTATTTTTCTTAGAAACTGACAATTAGTGCTTGAATTTCAACAGGTATGGAATCTGCTGGCATCCATGAGACAGCGTACAACAGCATCATGAAGTGTGACATTGATATCCGCAAGGACCTGTACGCCAACAATGTGTTGTCCGGTGGTACCACCATGTATCCTGGTATTGCTGATCGCATGCAGAAGGAGATCACAGCCCTGGCTCCAAGCACCATGAAGATCAAGGTGAATGGATGGCAGAGTCTTTGTGCAACCACACACTGATAAAGCAAATAACGCTCATTATAACTGAAGGTTATCTACTCCCTTTGTAGATCATTGCTCCACCTGAGAGAAAGTACTCTGTCTGGATTGGTGGTTCCATCCTGGCTTCCTTGTCCACTTTCCAGCAGATGTGGATCAGCAAACAAGAGTATGATGAAGCTGGACCCTCTATTGTCCACAGGAAGTGCTTCTAAACACATGTCCACCTCTTTGCATCCATGTATTTGTACATCTTTAACTCTTGTATATACAAGTCTCTGTTCTGTTGTAATAAAGATAAGCATTTGTGACAGTACCTCAAATACTGTTGACTGAAAATGAGAAATACAAGCAACTTTTCTTCTGTCAGCTGCCATAATGGGTGTCTGGGTGTCCAAATACTTTAAAAAGTCTTCAGTTAATCCAAAATGCTGCTGCCAGAGTCTTAACTGGAGTAGGAGAGATCATATCTCTCCAGTTTTCTCCATTGGCTCCCTGTCAAATCCAGAATTGAATTCAAAATCTTACTTCTAACCTACAAAGCCCTCAACAACCTAGCTCCATCTTAGAGATCTTATTGTTCCATATTTTCCCAACAGAGCACTTCGTTCTCAGATTGCAGGCTTACTTGTGGTTCCTAGAGTTTCCAAAAGCAGAATGAGAAGACGATCTTTCAGTTATCAGGCTCCTCTCTTGTGGAACCAACTTCCAGTTTCTGTCCATGAGGCTGACACATTGTCCAATTTTAAGACTGGGATTAAGACTTTCCTTTTTGATAAATCCTATAGTTTGGGTTGGCTTGTTATGCTGCTATAGGCTTAGACTACTGGAGGACAAATTTACCTAATTTCTTAAAATAAATTGCTAAAATTTAATAGTTTTCATTTGAAGCTATTTCTACCTTAAATGTGATTCTTCAACTGCCATTGTGTATCTGTTCCTAGCTAACCCAGCTAGTCGAAGCAGATGACCACTTGGCCTGAATCTGGTTCTGCTAAAGGTTTCTTCCTCATGAGGGAGTTTTTCCTTTCCACTGTCGCCTTCATGTTTGCTCAAGATGAGAGTTCTGCAATGGAGTTAATTTCAAAGCAGTCTGCTCCTCAGATAAATAATGTTAAATTATTATTTTTTATATATATTATATAAGAATGTTTCTGTACAGTGCCCTGAGACGACTTCTGTTGTGACTTGGCGCTATATAAATAAAATGAATTGAAATTGAAATAATGCCCCCTCCCCAGCACACCACACAGTAAAAAATGTTTGAATTTCCTAATCAATATTTTAAATGTCTCAAATTTTTTCTAGTACAAATAATAACACTTTCTATTCATGTACATTTAGTTTTTAGCTCAATATATCAAGTATATTCTCTCTATCTAAAACAAACAGATAGCTGAATTTAATTCATAGGTATCATTTTCCATCCATAGCTCCATCCATTATCCATCCATCCATCCATTATCTTTACCTTTAAAATCATTTTCAGGTCGTGGGGGTCACTGGTGCCCATGTCCAGCAGTCCCAGTGCAAGAGGCGGGGTACATCCTGGACAGGTCTCCAGTCCATCACGGGGACACATAGAGACAAATGAGACAAACAATCTCACTCACACTTAGAGACATTTTCGAGTTACCAATTAGCCTAACATAATATTTTTAATGTAAAAAGGGCATCTCATCAATACCTTAACAGATACCCATAATATATGAGTAGATGTTTGTAAATGCATTGGTGTCTAAAACTTATATCTCTCTTATTTGATGACAAAAACTTACTGGTACTCCCAAGCTTGCCACACAAATCTTATGTATTTTAAATTCTGATGCTCGAGTTTGTTTTTAAATTAGTCAGAATATCAATACTAAATATACACCAATTGGCTTTTTTTAAATTATTTTTTACTTATGTCAAATTTATTTTAATGTGTTCTCATAACTGCTGATGTAAACAAAGAAAGCTTTGAATCACCAGGCATTTTCCATTTGAAAAGTGGCACTAGTTTGTTCTACGGTCTCAACCGGTTGAAATGGCGTTTCCACTTGAATGTTCTTTTTCCTTACTGGAAACTGCACCGCACGGATCGGCGCACTCTGTGTATTAAAGCAAACACACACCCCGAGGAAGCCCGTTCAAGTTCTCACCAATCAGAGCGTAGTGCGTAGGGAGCGCCGCTGTTTGAAAATACTCCGGAAGCAGACGGCTTGACAACCGACTTGAGGAGCGAACCACCAGGCAGTGAGCTAAAAAAAATGGTTTAAATTGGTGTAATTTGTATATTTTACCGATTGAGAGAAGTAAAGCAGGAATTTCAGGTCCTCCGGTAGTGAGGTATTTTGAGTGGGACTTGTTTACAAGATTCTGCGACTTGCTAACCAAGCTGGCTAACGTTGGCCTGCTACTACGGACCAAGCTAGCTAATAAGATACGCTCTTAACAATGTAACACACCAGCTTATTGGGACTTTAACGTGCATTTTCCTCTAAAAGTCCACTTATTACGAGTGTGTTATTTTCTCGCAGGTAGTTGGAAGTTTTCAGGTGACGATGATTTGAGAAAAGCTAAGGGCTGTGATCAGCTGTTGCAAAAAATAGTTTATAATAACGGAAAGAGTGAACGTAAGTGCTAGAGAAAGCGAGAGAGCACTTTGTAAAAATAAAAAGCACGTTTGAAAAATGAAAGTTATGGAGAGCAGTGTAATGCGTTTAGTGGCCGTGCAGCAGCTTCGCTCGGCTTATGGGATAAAGATCAAGAGCTGGAACAAAAGCAAAGCAGCCAGCTGCAAGACGACAGTCAGCAACTCGGTGAGTTTAAAATAAAGTCATTTATAAGTGATCAACTCCATTTGTTTGCCTTAGACCTTTTTTTGCCGTGTGTTCATTCGGTTATAGTGAGTTTAAACTAAAAATAAAGAAGCTTACAGCATTAAAATTCATTGAGCATTGCCATTGTTTGGAATCAAATTAGCATTTTACTCAGTAACCCCCACTGAAAACCCCAATTGTTTGCAGACTGTTGTTGTTACAGGGTAAGGATGACAAAAAAAGCTAAATCCAAACACACAAGACCTTTTGTCTATACTTCTATTTAGTTTGGTTTAAAAAAACAATCATTTTATTCAGAAAAGAGACATTTCTGGATTAAAACGAACAACTTCAATTCAGTTTATTTATATAGCGCCAAGTCACGACAGAAGTCGTCTTAACTGAACAGAAACATTCATATACCGGTACATTATAAAAAATCCACTTGGTAAAAGTTATACAACAGGTTCTCTGGATGGATTCTTCTTTGTTGAAACGCTTCGTCTTTTATCCAGAAGACTTCAGTCTGAAACTCTTCAACCAGCTCAGTCTTTTATAGCGCCTTCTCATAGTGGACCGAACCACTTGGCTGCTGACAGCCATATTATCTTTTGGATAAAAGATGAAATGTTTCAACAAAGAAGAATCTGTCCAGAGGACCTGACTTAACCTTGTTAGATTTTTCTAACGAGCATGCATCAGGACAGTAAAAGTTATCTATTTAAAGAAGCCACCAGATTGCTTTGAATCTTCATTTTGTCGCAGTCTCCCATCCTGAGCAAGCACAACGGCAACAGTGGAAAGGAAAAACTCCCTTTTTAACAGGAAGAAACCTCCAGCACAACCAGGCTCGGAACGAGTGGCCGTCTGCTTCAACAGCTGGGGTTGATGACCTGCTTCTTGGTTTTGTTGCAACAGTCACTTGTGCAATAAATGCTGAACCATCTGCTTTATGAAAACGCCCTGCAGACAAAAAGAAAGAAAAAAAAAAAAATACCAGACACAAACTTTGGCTGAAATTGTGAAGAAATGAGGAAAACGTTTAAGAAATTTAAAATCCAACACAACGCTATTCTTAAACGCAATGTTTGGTCATCAGTATAAGAAAAGACAGAATTTATAGCAGTAAATTTTAGTCGTGTCAAATAAAATAAAAATATTATAAAGAAGGAAAGGGAACAAAGCAATCATACTTTTCCAGTGGTGAATATAAAGAGTGTGCCTGCACATGTGAGTTATTGGTGAATTCATTGTTAATCATTTTGTCTAACTTCCTTTTTTTCCTAACATAGACAAAAGTTTTCGGCCTCCCCTTGGATTGCTTACCGTTCTGCTATACAGAATGTGGAAAAGTGCCAAGGTAGGTCGACACTTTCTTTTTTCTTTAACAAGTTAACAAGTTGTAGCTTGTTCTCCTTTTTTCCTCTCTCTCTCTTTTTTTTTTTTTTACAAACCGTTACCGTACTAATCATTTTTCACTGCTCTTTAAGATTTCTGGTTGATGCATGTGTGCATCTGCTAGCACATGCCGACACAGAGGGCCTGTTCAGGAAATCAGGCTCCGTTGTCCGCCTGAAAGCACTCAGGGTGAGCAATGGACGACACTGACCTTGCTTTCCCCGAGAGACCTTCGAGTTCAGTGGGAACCATCCACCACAACAAATCTGTGTTTTGTCTGTTCAGTCTAAACTTGATGCAGGAGAAGAGTGCCTGTCCACCGCTCCTCCCTGCGATGTTGCGGGCCTGGTAAAGCAGTTCTTCAGGGAGCTCCCAGAACCTGTCCTTCCTACGGAGCTGCAGGATGCCTTTCTCAAGGCCCAGCAGCTCCCCACTGAGGAGGACAGAACCTCTGCCACCACGCTGCTGTCCTGCGTGTTACCAGACAGAAATATTTGCATCCTGCGCCACTTTTTTCACTTTCTTCGCAACATCTCTCTAAGGTATTGCACCTACCTATTATGTTTTTGAAATGGTTTACAGACATTGATCATATTTCTAACTGTGTTTGCTGAAAACAACATTTTCTCCTTTTTCTTGCTGAATCTCAGGAGTGCAGAAAATAAAATGGATAGCAGTAATTTGTCTGTAATTTTGGCTCCCAACCTCCTTCACTCTGGAGATGGAACAGAAAAGATGAATGCCAACACGGAGAAACGCCTCAAACTACAAGCGGCCTTGGTCCACTGCTTCATAGAGAATGCACACAACTTTGGTACGGCTTTAAGCATTTTGTTGCCAATTCCTGTCTCTGCCACGTTACAGTTGCTTTGAAGCGTTAACAAAGCCGTGGCTGTCTGTTACAGGCTTGTTACCGCTATTTCTTCAGGAGAAAGTTCCTGCCATGATGGGTTATGAGGCAGGTGGTCTGTCTCCCTCTCAGGGTGAGGATGAAGAGGGGGATTTAAACTCTGGGATGAAAAGAAAAAGCAGACGCAGCTTTGGACGTAAGAATCAAATCAGACCTTGTAAAAGCAGCAAGAAAAAGTTGCACAAAGCAAATATTCAAATACAATGAAGCATCGTGCTGCAGCGATAAACCACTTCTGTTACGTTGAAACTGCTTTAGTCGGTAAAGACAGGTTATTTGGCTGGGTTTGTCTTGTATTTCAGATATGGTCAGTGGTGCACTGAGTAAGATAAAAACTAATAGAACACCCACAAAAGGCTCCCAGGTGGAGAGTCTTGGTACGTACTGTGGTCACATGAGATGGGTTTGGCATCAGAAAGCATGAAGATGCTGAAGTAATTATCTCCTGTGCGCATGAGATGACATTTGTGTAACTTAAATTGAATTCTTTATTTATTTTTTTTACTTCATACTTAAGTCTGATGTTTTCCTACGCAAACTTTATTCAGATCTGCTTCTATTAATAATTATCAGCTTCTAAAAGAAGAAGCACTGCCTGTCTTTGCTCCAAATCTTTTTTGCATGAATCAGCACCCCCAAGTATCAGTTTGCTGTTTTTCTGTGCTTTGGTTCAAAATAAGTTCAAATTCTACCGGTTTGAAGAAATCACCGTCCTCACTCTTTTGTAATTTTTCCCAGTCTTTTCCTCTGCAACTCCTGTGATTGTGACTCCGTCCTCCAAGCGAAAGCTTCCTTTTGAGCCTCGCCAATCTTTTGGATTTTCGAACAAGAAGCGTAGATCTGTTAAAAAGAGCCTTGGGATAGACTTGCTTCCCAACCCTTTGTTCAGTGGCTCCACTACTCCTGGTTCAGGTATTGAAGAATGCTCGATTAACTGTTGATCTATCACTTCAGCTTGTAGTTATTACCTTTAGTTTCGTGTGTATTCCAGCCTACAGTTCATCGGGCGTCTTGGACCCTTCCCCAAACACCTTGTCATCAGCAGGAAGGTCTAAAAGGCAGCCTGCGGCGTCTTTAAGGAGGAAGAGCAAGCGACTTAGTAATAGACATGTTACCAGGTAAAACTAAGTCTTTGTTTGGCCCATGAGAGCTAACTTAAAAAAATTCTGGATTGCAAATTTATAGTAGGGATGCACGATATTGGATTTTTGGCCGATATGCCAATATGTTAAATTTGGCCATTTAGGTAATTTACCTCAAGGACTCAGGAAGTCAGATAGATATCTTCTATTCATTTTATTAGCAGGGGCAAAGAAAGCTATAACCCGCAAGTGGCTAGATTTAGAACCACCATCATCTCTGGAATGGACCGAAATAATTAAGGAAATACACGTAATGGAGAGATTGACTTTCATTAAGACTTGCTGCTGATAAATACAATAAATATTGGAAGAAATGAAACACCTTGAACCTGACGCCAAATGTACGATTATTTTAATTACCTCTCTTTTATTTGAATGTCTCATATTGAGTTTTACTTTTTATTATAATTAATATGCTTTTGTCATACTTGTTGCTCTGGACTTTTATTTAGTGAGGTTCTGAATGTTTAATGCATGTCTATTTTAAAAAAAATTATAAAAATAAAGTAAAAAAAAAAACACTTATTTGGCGGAATACCAATATTTTTTCCTAGACCTACTTACAGAGACGACATATCTTTCTCTGCTGTGGAATTAAAATACTACATTATTCTTCACGGTCTTTGTCAATTTGGTCTGTTACCAAATGCAGATGCTAAAAAGGCTGAAAATTATGCAACACTTCAACTTGTAATATATTTAATGTTACATTTATTCATGACATTTACTCTCTAACACAATGACAACACTCGAACAGTGCGAATTTGAAAATGTTCACAAATCTAAACTCAACGGCGTGCATGATGTCATAACGTTGTGCGGGCGCTGCAGGCATCCTTGTCACTGCGATGTCATACAAAAACAGCGCTATATATATATGTATATAGTGCCTTTTATATTGGTGAGTTATTTTTGATGGACTGGTCGATGTCTATTTAAATGTATTGCTAATATTGGCTGATACCATGCCAATAATATCGTGCATCCCTAATTTATAGTCTTATTTAAAATTAAACATTTTTAATGATCATGGGGCATCTTTACTAATGAGTGTTCCTGTGTGTGTGAAAGTATTACAGTCACTTATTTTCTCATTGTATACTTTATATTGCTCCAAATTAAAGAATGCAGTGTTTATTCTCTGATAGTGGATAAGGTCACTTTTTCTTGGCTTACCAGTATGTGGCTGACAGTTGACATAATTTTTCTCCCTTTCAGAGTTGAATCTGGAAAAGCTGGCTGCTTCTCACCTAAAGTCGGCAAGAAAGAAGATCCACGCAAGTCTCTACGCAAGCGTTTTAGCTTGGGAAAGAGCAGCAAAGACGCTGTAAGTGTAGTGGCTCGTTGAAACCTAACACTAACTGACAAACTGTGAACGAGGAAATGAATTCTCTGCATGCAGCATGTACCTGTATTCCAATCAAACATGTTTACACTCAGACAATAGATATGTGCACAGTAGCACTTTTGTTGTAGAGGATGCTCTCACACATGCACTGCAGTCCTGAAATGTTCAGGTGATTCAGAGGACACACGATGCAAATATTCATTCACTCAGCAGTTTTTACATCACTTCCCGAGACGCTGTCCAGCACCTTATCCCTCGCATTTCTAGCTGTGAAGCATGTGTGAACAGCAGCTCCAGAAAATAAATCCCTTTGAAATTATCTGTCCGTTTTCCTCACACATTTGGTGGTTATGTAAAAACTTCCAACGTTTACTTTATGAAATATTTCTGCAGATTTATTTTTTTTTTTAAAGACGAACTGTGTTTCACCTTTTAACATTTTGTAAATAAATTATGTTTATTGTTTATGGTACCAAAGCTCTATTCCTGTGCCCAGTTTGAATCAGTTACCATACTAGCACTTGGGTGATGTTGATATTATATACACAACATTTGGTGAAATGTCTTTGGGTACAATATGCAAGCTGCTTTAAGATGCATATGTTTATTATATTAAAATATACACAATAAAAGTTTATCCAAACAGTTCACTTATCTCGTTTCTTCTGAGTGATTTGTATCATCCTCTGAAGAACTAACCCCAGATACACGCCATTAACCTGGTAATATTTATTATGGGTTGTTTCTGTTGGGTTCTTTTTAACAAAATACTACTCTCTAGCTTAATCCTTCTCAAAGGCTCTTTCATTTTTCCGTTCTCCTTCCATGCTGCTGATGAAGGGTTCTGAGTCCATTGGCTGGCGACTTGCCTCACAGGAGAGCACAAGTTTTCTTCTCACTGAGGAGACCAAGTTCAGACCATTTGTTCTTCCCAGAAATACAGAATCCAAGAGTAAGTACCAGAGAATGCAACTTTATCCTGACTGCTCCATTCTTACCAATGTTGTCTTGAGTTAGAACTCCTGCTAATACAAAGCTTGTTGTTTTAGGCTCCAAGTACATTAGCAAGTCAGAAGACAACTTGCTGACACCTCAATGTGGCTCGAGGACCCATCAGGCTTCGTGGATTGAAGACACCCCTCTCAGCGCTCAGGCGTTTAGCGGAGGGTCTTTCACTGATTCCCCCATACGCGTGCGCCTCAAGAACAACTACATGTCTGAGCCTGCCATTGTTATTTCTAAGCCTTCACCAGGAAACATCCTGCCCATGAAGCTGTGTTGTGCTTCCAGCGCGGAGAGCCTCGAGAGCGCTGAAACTCTGAGAGGAACGGGCCCAGCTCTGAAAATCCAGAAGGATGCCATAGAGCCTGCGATAGAGGATTCCTGCAGCTTTGTAGGAGAATATGTGAAAAAACCATCAGAAAGCATCCATGTTACTCCACCCAAGACCCCCGCAGTCAAACCTTTGTCTGTGGACACTGAGACCCCCTGCTTCCAAGCTCAGCGGAGCCTTCTGGGAAATGAGCAGAACAGTACATTTGGTCAAATTGAAATGGCTGCACTCACTCCTTTGCATATTGATAGTGCAGTCTTTGATTCTAGCGTTCACTGTAGTCCATTACACAAAGTTAGATCTGCCTCCTTCGGTAGCCATGGCAACTCAGCTGAGAGGCTGGCAGAGCAGATAAACTGCAGCAGGTTTATCGATGCTCTGGATGTGCAGAGTCCTGCTCATTTCACACTGAGCGTCTCCTCATCAACTCCATACAAGCTGCTCAAAGAGGAGCCTGCCGCGTCGAACACAACTGCTGCTGCAGGCGGCAAATCTTATGAGAAGGTCAAGCTTTCCCTGGAGGTTGGTTCTAATGTTGAAAACCAAACGGCCTCGTCCCCGACTAGGCAGGAGGCTGAAAAGCGCCGGGTAGCAGACCACATTCAGCACTTCAACAAGCTCACCCTCTACTCTCCCACGGGCTCAAGCAAACAGATCCGGTCTCCGCTAAAGTTCCAGCGCACCCCAGTTCGACAGACTGTCCGCAGGATCAACTCTCTCTCAGGTGACAGTCGCAGGTTCAACGTAAACGTGACGAAGTCTTTGAGTCTAGAGAGTGGCCTCTCGCCTCACTCAAAGCTCCTGCCTCACCCGGGACGGCCACAAGTGAGACCGTCCAACAGCACGCTCGCTGGAAAGAAGCCTCCGCCCCTCCCGCCGAAAAGGCCAAGCACCCTAGTTCGAAAACCCGCGTCCTGTGCTCTGGGCGACGTGACAAACAAAGTCCAACCAAAGGTTAAAGTGGAGCGCTCTGCCTCGGATCCATCAGAAACCCTGAATCCTGTGCAGCAGCTTGTAGAGAAGGGCTCGAACTATTACAGAGGTTCTCCCAGAAACCCCCTCAACCCAGGACGACTACTGTCTGCTACCAAGCCTGTTGATTTATAGAGGCCGTCCTTATTATATTTTTATTTTTCTTTCTCTTGCTATGCGGGTCTTTTTCTGGTAAATGACATTAAACGTTCCGGCATATGTATTTTTTATCGCAGTAATTTATTTCTTAGTTGCAGTTGTTGGGAGATGCTCAGCAGCCGTGCGAAGTAATGGCAGCCTACGAGTTTTACTACGTTAGGTAGATTTTCGATCACAGCGTGAAAACTCAATCTGTTGGTATGACTGGAAATGTTTTAATGAAGCGTTTCAATTATCTTACAGCTGATTCTGGGGCGTACATTTGGGAGAAATTTCTGGAGATAATTTAAACTACCCTTTTTAAAACGTTCGTTTTTTTTAAATATTTTTTGTATTATTGCCTCGTGATGAACTTTAGAAAAAAAGGAATACAAACCTCTTGTTTTTTTTGTTTGTTTGTTTGTTTTTTGGGAGGGTTTAAAATAATTTTTATTAGTTTTTGTTTTATCCTCCAATGGCTTCACAACTTTCAGCCTGTAAAATGCTTTGCTTCAGCCAAGAAAATAAATAAAAAAAAAACTTCAGGATTTTGTGGATTGAATTTTCAGAGATTTGATCAGTCCTGGTTCAGCCACAAGGGGGCGTCCTACATTTACTTCCACATCTGTACAATAAAGTTGATTCATTCTGACAACCTGAAGCTGAGTTAAACTGTCAAGACTTGCTTGTTGCTTCTTTGTCCCAAGATAATGAAATAATATTTTGTTAACAGTCTGCAGTGAACAAAATTCTTCAAGATTTTTTTTTATCAGTTTTTATAAAACAAATATTCTCTGTAATATCAGCAATCTGAGCCAAACAGTAAATAAAGTGCTTTTAAAACATGTGAATCTGGCAACTTTTAAGATTTATTCTTTACATTTTGCAACAATCGGTTTCAGGACAGACTTGACGTGGAGCAGATTTAGCTGCCAGGACTTTGTGATCCTGCAGTGATGGGAGGATTAATGGGATGCAAACAGGAAGTGTAGTAAAAGAGATGGTCCCTCATGAAAACATTCCTGTCAAGACATATTTAATTTGAATAACTTAACGCTTCTATTTGGTTGCCAGGTTGTTAAAAAAACACATTTGGAAACATCCAACGTTATTTAAAAAAAGAATTGGGGAAAAAACCTGAGCCCAAAATCAAATTTGTTCTGATTATTTATTAAACTGTTTTTATTACTAAGTGCAGTCATTCACAAGGCTCAAGTTAAATAACATTTTATTTATTTATTTATTTTTAACAAGTCTCTTGTAAATGAGTCCTCGAGACTCAATGAGACTAACCTGCATAAATAAAGGTTGACTTGAATTTGATAAAATATCAACATGTTAATCAGTAAAGTAATAAGAATTTAACCTAAAATGGAACAGTGATTCAATTTCGAGTGATTCACG